ATCAGTTTGTATTTTATTGAACTAACAGACCCAGGACCATTGCAGTGAGCAGATTGTTATGTCCTCTGGTTCAGCTGACACAGTCCTGATCTTTCCAGAAACCCTTAATACGATGTCTCTCCCTGTTGTATAAATTGGAGGTTTTGGGAATTTTAAACTTTAAATATAATGATTTGGTTCCTTTTTAATTTTTATTTTGGTCAATGCAATGGCTTAGACAAGTGAACTTTGATCTTTGTTTTAAAGATTATGAAACTAATTGTGTGCATATATCTACACGGCATTTTAGGACCCATACCTCTCACCACACTACAGGAGATGTTCCCATGTAGTCCATAGATAACTGCAGGTTGATTTTCCTTGAGTGCTTTATACTGTTAACTACATCTCCATGGAGGGCTGAGAAGAATGACCTGTGTTTCTGTAGAAAACTGTTGCTTTGCTGTTTTGATTGTGCACAGATGTGCAGGAAGGGCTGCATCTGGGCCAGATACGCACAGGAGTCTTGCAAGTTAAGTACCGCTTTGATTTCTTGTTTACGCTGGAAATTTTTTTTCTCCCCATGGAATGTAAGTAAAAGGTAGTGTTTATCACCAATAAATGGTAATACTAAATTTTTTTTTGTTAATTTATTCTTAAATGCCACTACTGCTAGATTGCTCCCTCCTACCCCACTTCCCCTTTTTTTATTTTTAAGAAAATAAATTTGTAATGCCTGTGATTCCATCTGGGCAAAAATATGAAGATATGAAATAACAATATATCAAACTATTGATAAATAAACAGCTGCTAATGAAAAAAAAAGTAGAAAGAAAAAAATTGCCATCTATGGGTCCTATACTCAGCAAAGCTCTCTATCAGATATGAAGGGAAAATCAGATCCTTTGCAGAAAATAAGGAATTTGTGAAAACAAGACCACAACTATAAGAAATGCTAAGTAAAGTCCTTCACATGGAGATGCCAAAGGAAAGTGGATAGACCACAGTAACCAAAAACAACAAAAAAGGAAGCATAGAAAAAATAGCAAATTAAAACTTGCCTGATAGTAATCACACTTAATTGGAATGGGCTAAATGAGCCAATCAGGAGAAAAAGAGTAGCAGAATGAACTAAAAAAACAAGGCTGATCGTTATGCTGCCTACAAGAGACACATCTAAAAATGGGAAAGACAGACTGAAAATCAAATCTGGAAAAATATATCAAGAAAATGGCAACCAGTAAAATCAGGAGTTCAGATACTAATCTCTGATAAAATAGACTTCAGAATTAAAACCACTGTAAAAGATAAGGAAGGGCATTACATACTGATTAAAGGCACAATATATCAAGAAGACATAACCTTATGCACCAAATGACAGACCTGCAAAATACATAAAACAACTGTTAACAGAATTTAAAAAAATAGACAGCATCACAATAGTGGTAGGAGACTTCAACACGCCATTATCACCAAAGGATTGGTAACTTAAAAGAAACTTAACAAAGATGCAGAAGAGCTAAACTGTATAATGAGCCAACATGACCTGGAGGATATATTCAGGGTAATGCACTCAACTAAAACTCAGTTCACTTTCTTCTCCAGTGCCCATGGTATATTCTCCAGAATCCATCACATATTAGAACACATAGCAAACCTAAACAAATTTAAGAACATTGAAATAATACAAAGTATCTTCTCAGATCACAATGCCATAAAACTAGAAATTCAGCACAGGAGAGTAACATTTACAAAACCACCCAGGTGAAAAGGAGTAATTCTCTACACCATTAAGTCACAAAAGAAAGTTTATAGAGTCATAAAGGGCCTCCACAAGAAAAAGACTGATAATATAATTATAAAATGCACAAAAAGACATGGAAAGAATTTTCATGGGGGCCAGCAGACACAAAGAAATATTCAAAATCATTAGCAATAACAGAGATACAAGTAAAACCACAATGAGATACTATCTCACTTCAGTAGAAGTGGTAAAGTTTAACAGGACAATGTACAACCAAACTGGAAGGCAGTTTGGTGTTTCTGCAGAAAGTTGAACATAGAAATTCCATATAACCCAACTATTTTATTGCTTGGAATATATCCTGAGAATGAGAACTGAGGTATAAACAAGAGACTTGTTCACCAGTGTTTATAGCAGCAATAGTCAACATTACCACTGGCCTGATTGGCAGCATCATGATAGATGGTGACGAGATTGAGATTGTTAACAGCTTTTGTTTGCTTGGCTCTATAATCAATACACTTGGTACCAGCAGCCAGGAAATTAAAAGAAGAATTGCTATTGGGAATGTCAGCTGTCAGAGACCTCTCCAAAGTACTAAAGAGCAATGCTCTCAGTCTGGAAACTAAAGTGCACCTGATACAGGCTATGGTCTTTGCAATTACTTGTTACACATCAGAAAGCTGCACAATGACTAGGGATGATAGGAGAATGAAGCCGTTCAGCTGTGGTGCTGGAGAAGAGTATTGAATATTACATGGACTGATAAGAGAACAAACAAGTTCGTTCTGGAGAGGGTGAAGCATGGCTGCTCCTTGAAGGTAAGAATTCTGAAGCTTAATCTGACATATTTTGGACACGATGCAAGGCAGGATCAGTCTTTGGAGAAGGATGTATTGCTTAGGAAGGTGAAGAGACAGCACAAGAGAGGAAGAACCTCGAGATGGAATGATTCGATAACTCAGGTAATGGGGGTAGGTGTATCAGAGACAATAAGATTGACACAAGATAGAGTGTGATTTAGGCCTGTTGCACATAGGGTTGCTATGAGTCACAGGCATATTGCAGCACATAACAACAACAACAACAACAGGTAAAATTTTAGGTTCAGCCTAAAAATACACACAAATAAAAATATGAGGCTAGACACATAAATAGATGCAAACTTGAGGACAGGTATTCTGATTTATTTACAAAATTTGAATACTTTGATTTGTTACAAAATATCATTTCTACTTCCTTCTCTCCACCCACTCATTAAATTGTGCAACCATATGATTAACACCCTATCCCTCCTCATCTTCTATTGTTATGTGTTCGCAGAGTAGAGAGAAGACAAGCGAGAAGAAATGTGGGTTTTCAGAGGGTCATCATTCTCTCAGGCAAATGACACTGAGAGATGGTGAAGCCCTTGCTCTTATTAGTAGAAAATCAAACCTTACAGTAAAACATGATCTTATAGGGTAAATGTTTAAACATATGGAACAAAGCATAGGTAGGCAGGAGCAGTTTTAAAGAAAATATCCTGGTATTCATGAACAAGGTACTGTACTCTCAACAACCTTAGCAAGAACTTTAGAAAATAGTCTTTGTTTAACAGAGAACTTCCTGATCCCTTTCATAGTGGTACATGCCATGCTCCAGGAAGTCTGAGACTGCTTTCAGTCCCATCCATTCTTGGTGTATTTGCCTGCTTTCAGGCATTGTAGCCAAGTCCTTTCACATGTATTCCATGGCCACTAGTACACCTAGTGAACCAAAATTACCCTGCAATCCTTACCACTCTGTTTTCACCATTCTCCCTCCCCCGCCTTGGATCCTCACAGCCCTTCTACAATAATGTGTGTTTTTTGTTTGTTTGTTTGTTTGTTTGTTTGTTTGTTTTTACTTTGAGACATGATGGAAAAAATCTTAGAGGAACACATGGAAAAATAAGACATGATTACATTGATAGAGACAATCTAGCCAGAAAGCTTTGTCAATTCCGAGTGTGATATGCTAAAGGGCTGAAAGGAATTAGTACTCTTTTCCTACTTCCTCACCCTCTCCTTCAACAGAATCCACACCCACCTCCTCATAATCCTTCTCAAGGGCAGCCATGTCCTCACGGGCCTCAGAA